TCCACATCATGCTGCACCATACACAAAACCCAAACTGCGGCTGCTAAGAAGTGCGCATGAATATTTTTTTCCTTCTAACGAATAGTCGAGAATATTATTCTTTTTTTTTTTAAACAGGGTAGGTGGGGGGCTTCTCGTTGCACTTGGATCCATATCTTGCCTCACCACACATCAAACCCGCACCGGGCCGCTAAGAAGTGCGCATGAATGTTTTCATTTTAATATATACTCAGGTAGAGTTGCTGGCGTTCGGGACGGGCCGAACACCCGAACCCGAATGCCCGAACGTTTGGGACCCCCTCTCAACGCGGTCGGACGTTTGGCCGAACGCGGAACCAAAAAAAAACAAAAAACAAAAAAGAAACAAAGTTTCCAAAAATTCTGAAAAAACAATATGTCATGCTAACCAAACAACATTTGCCTCAGCACAACATCCAAATTCCTTACCAAATTGAAACTAAAAATCAAATACGAAAAATAAATAATATTAATGAAAATAAGAAAAAATAAAACGAGAATGAAATTATTGCGTGGGCGAGCAAGTTTTTGACACCGCCATCTTTGGTGATTTTTTATTTTTTTTGGCTTTGTCAAATGCCATGAAATTTTATGCATATGTATCTTACATAATAGAGAACCGACAAATAAAGTTTGAAAAAATAATTGTTTTTTTCAGGCCTCGAAATAAAAGGAAAAAAAAAGGTGAAAAGAGAAAAAAAACAAATTAATAAGTGGGAAAGCAAGTTTTGACACCACCATCTTTCCCGATTTTTCATTATTGTTTGGCTCCACAAAATGAATTCAAAATTGAGAGACAGGTAGCTTACATAACAGAGAACTCACAAAAAACAAATCAGAAAAAAAAAATAATTTTTAGGTACCAAAATAATTTTTTGCGGGGTCCGAACCCCTTCGAGTTCGGGCCCCGTACGGGGACCCGAACGCCCGAACGTCCGGGGGTTAGCTTAGGGGCCTCCGTACATTCGGCCTGACAACTCTGTACTCAGGAATATATGTATTTTTTTTTTTAATTCAAGTAGCGGGGGGGGGGGGCACACCCCCCCCCACTCCGGACTTGGATCCACATCATGATGCACAACACACAAAACCCAAATTGCGGCTCCTAAGAAGTGCTTATGAATATATTTTTTTTCTAACGAATAGTCGAGAATATTATACTTGTTTTTTAAAAACAGGGTAGGCGGGGGGTTTCTCGTTGCACTTGGATCCATATCTTGCTTCACCACACACCAAACCCGCACCGGGTCACTAAGAGGTGCACATGAATGTTTTCATTTTAATATATACTTAGGAACAAGGTTGCCGGCGTTCGGGAC